GTTTCTCTTTTTTGGTTGCTGAGTAATATTCCATCTTTTTAATCCAATCATCTACTTGTGGGCATTTGGGCTGCTTCCATGCTTTTCCAATTGTAAATAAAGCAGCAATAAACATGGGGGTGCAGGTATCTTTTTCAATCAGTAGAACACTCACAACTTTTACATCAGTTATGTTTACTGAAATATAATAAAAGTAAGATATTTATCTAGTACATGGTAATTTAAAACATGAGAAACACTGAAAGTTAAAGTACTTCTTTGCTGAACTTACTGAGTCATTTGTACAGTGTCTGTCTTCTTTGTAGGCATACACTGTATTGTAGACAGGGCACATATTCTATATATTAAGAGCAGTCAAACACCGTATTTTGAGCGTCAGTTAGCTCTTAACATTTTACCCTTTGTACTTTCCAAGTCATCAACATTTCTTTAAAATTACAAATTAGGCATAATTTTAAGTGTGCTGTTAGGCACAAAGGAAAGTTATTTAATTTGGGAAAGGCAAATTAGATCCTATTCCTGTATGCTTTACTACAAAGTAGGGGCAGGAACACAGCCCTTATTTGTAAGCTTTTCTAATAGCTATCACATTAAAATCTAAACAATGAAGGCTAATTAAGACAAGTGAAACATGCAGAAAGTAGTAGCTAGAACACCAGCAGTGTCAAGAAGTCTCTACATGAAGAACTACATGTTGATGCACCTTCTTCCTCAAAGTCAGTCTATGCCCCCCCAAAAAACTATTAAACAACCCACAAAAAACAACCCCAAAACAAAACAGTTTAACACTCAGGCATTTTATTCTGTAGATACGAAGAGCAGCTAAAAGTCCACATAAGAACTGTTAAGTACGTTAGTAAAAATGAAGTATTGCTGTTACTAGTAAACCATTTTATGCTTTATGGATTTGAGCTGAATTTTATTTTGACTTTGGTAATCCAGATAAAAATTTAGTTAGGGGCTCTCCCTGGTGGTGCAATAGGTTAAAGCACTACATTATGAAACTCTCCCAAGCCACTGCAGCACGAGTTGGATCCCAGGCCAGGGAGCTGATCCACATGGCGTGGCAGACATCTCCTGACCCACCCCTGTCCCCTCAGCAGTGTACTTTGTCAATCTGCCTGTTCTGCTTCCCGCTCTGTCTCTGGTGAATCCTCTCACCCACCACACCTCTGGCCTATACCCTAGTTCTGTATGCATAAATAATTAAATCTTTTTAAAAAAAGTTAATTACATCTCCACAACAAACAATAATCAACTCCCTAAGTGTCATTTAAACTTCCAGAGTTATACTACCAAGGGTTCTTGGCTTTAGTTCATTGTGAACCATACAAAAAATGTTCTTACCTTTACACCTTGAATAAGACCATTCATGAGGAAAGTGTGTTGAGGAAACGTTTCATGCAGAACCTATAAAACTCAAACAAATGTCAAGATAAATTAAAAGACAAACCTCAGCAAAAACTTAATGAAAAGTTTTTAAAATCAATAAAACATAAAAAGCTTTCTGAAAAGTATGAAAAGGTAACAGGCAGAAATCTAAATAGGTCCACAACCTAAAAGGAATGCCCAACAGTCAAAGCTGCTTTAATTACAAAAAGCATTTTTAGCAAAATTAAATCATTGATTGGATTGGCTACTCTGAAAACCATCAATAATTTTGAGCAGTTACTGGAAAGGGTCATACAAACTTAAATACAGGCCTATAACCCAGATTAATATCACCTTGGTAGTTAAGGGAACCCTAACCTTCAATCTGTAATATAATGATTCCAAACTGGTACTTCCAAATGTCTAGTAGAAAAAAAATGTTTGCAAATATGTAAGCATACACATTCACAATACATACATACATATATACATGCACACACTGCTACTTTTTTCTACTTCTACCTAAAAGTCCATTGATATGACAAAAGAAATATGAAACTAAATTTACAACATTCTTAGAAAGCAAAGAATAGCAAGGGACTTTGGACAGTATCTACAGATGAGAAGAGGGACAACAAAACCTACAGTTAAATAGACAATATGATATGAATGCAAAAAAGATCTTCAAAGAATCCAATTTTCCAAAAAAAAAAAAACCCTAAATGAGTTGGTTATTAAAAGATGATAAAATATGTTCCTAGTAATTTTGCTCTCAAAATTGCTGACTCTTTTGCTCTCAAAATTGCTCCTAAGATGACAACTAAAAGCATAGTTCTATGAACTGAATGGCGTGGGACTCCAAAAGGCAAGTCGTATGAAATACAATCACATGATGAACTACTTCCTATTATAGAGGAAATCCCAGAACCCCCACACTTTCATAAATCAAGAGCACCTACAAGCAGTAGTATATACATTCAGTTCTAAGGAAAAGGGCTTTTTGATGGGCTGGAGAACTATACTTTAGCTACAGGTAGCAAACTGATAATACTATTTACCTCACACTATGTTTTTCAAGTGACTGAGTTGTCAAGTGTATGTTTTACCAAACTCCCTATGCTTTTCTAGCTTCTGACAGGAACTCAGATTTCAAAACATAGGGTTTGAATTACCACATCACTGCATTACTTAGTAGAGTAGAAAGAACATGACTCTCCACTACAACACCAAACCATTCAACACAACATTTAAGGAAAACCACTGTAAGGCACAAGAAAGAGTATCACTCTCTTAACCACTTGTAACTATGCAAGTCCTCTCTTTTTCCTTTTCCTAATAAACCTGTCCTTGTAAAATGTAAAAAATGAAAAACACATCAACCTATCTCATGTCCACAGATGCAAAGACACTAACAAAATGCCAGTGAATCATATCCAGAGACATATTAAAATGCATGTTATACTAATTGAAAAGGTTTATTCAAAGAACAACATTCAAAATCAATGTAACTAACCATATTAGCAGAATAGAGGAGGAGGGTATTTCTAATTATTAACTGATTATATACAGAAACTTCACTTGATAAAAAATTTAATATCCACCCATGATAACAATCCAAGCAAAGTAGAAAATTTCCAGAAGAGACTATCCTTTCTCTGAAAACATCTCAAGTTTATAGCAAATATATTTTGTGCTTTCTACCACAGGTCATCTATAAGATAAGGATGCCCACTAGATTTGCTTCTATTCAAAACTGTACTGGATCATAGTTTAAAAAATAATAAAAGAAAATTATAAAATAACTGTAAAAAATTAAAACTGTCATTTACAAAAAATATGAGTATGGATAAAAGAATCTACAATAGGGGACTCCCTATTGTAGGGCTTAACTCTCAGCACTATGAAAGCTATTTGCAGGCACTGCAGCATGAGTTCGATCTGGGCCAGGGACCTGACCCACATGACACAGCAGACCTCTCCTGTCTTGCCCACGGCTCTCCTCAGCAGTATATTTCAATCCATCAGTTCTGTTCCCCACTCTGTCTCTGGTGAATCCTCTCACTGCTACTGCACCTTTGGCCTGTACCCCAGTTCTTAAATACATAAATAAATCTTCCAAAAAATTATTTAAAAATAATCTGGAAATATTAATAGTGAATTTAGCAAAATTGCTAGATAAACTGTCAATACACAAAAACAAACAAAAAATTAATTAAAACTTTAAAATTCCATTATTCACAACTCCATGAAAAACAAATTCCTAGAAATTAATCTAGTGAAAAATGTCTGCACTGAGAAACATAAAACAATTTTCAGAGAAATTTTTAAAGACCAGATAAAAGGAAGGTAGATAACATAAGGTACATCAGCCTCCTCAGCCCATTAAAGTAAATTAACTAATTAATTAAAATAAAAAGGAATCTGACAGTCTAGTATATATCAAAAAAACCTAAGGATTTTTGAAAGTAGGCTTTAGAATTTCTGACAGGGCATTAAAAACAATAAAATGTTTTCATCTCCGTATGAATTCTTACCAAATAAAGAATAATGTCAGGGTTACTTCTATATTGAAAAAATGGCTTAACTTCTGTAACAGATTATAGGCGACTGGTTGCATCAGAAAACTGTTTTGACACTCTTAACTTTGTCACCTAATGAAGCTAGGGGGAAAATATCAGTGAACTAGGGTCAAAGATAAAATAACATAGCTCCTTAAAACAAGTAGCCTGATCTGTTTATCTCCAGACTAAAAAAGGTCTCAGAGAAGCACTCAAGGACATAGATTTATGTGCCCACATATACCTGTTTATAAAGAAAATATTTATTGAGCAACACTGTGTTGAAGGCAGCTCTACAAAGAAATGGCTGTAGATAAGCTACCAAAAAGTGGAAATTTGGACATTCATAATTACCACTTTCATTGTACAACACATTCACCAAACCTCCCACTTACTATGTTCTTAAGTCAGAGGTCATTATATCCACACAAGGCAAGTTATACACTAAAAAGTTTTGTGATCATTTCCTTTAGGACACCTTACTCTACCTAAACATATATGTAAATCATGCACATCACTCCAAAGAATTCTGGTTCAGTGGGAACATCTCCCTACCCATGAATATTTAGGAAACAGCCCAGTTGTTCTGTCGCAGGTAGCATATACTATACATTGTGGAAAACAACACAATGAAATAAGCAATCTGAAATGGATGACAAGAGTTACTCTCAAACACAAAGTCCCAGGGGTATATGCTTTAAAGAAAAGTCTCTTATACCCTCACAAAAAAGGACCTAGACTGGCAATACTTACAGTTAACATTGGAGTTGTTAACAGACCCCATGCAAAGAATTCAAGAAAGATGACAATGGCAGCATGGTATACACTTGGTCTCCCAAAGCCTTGTCCCTAAAAAAGAAAGTGATTATGAAAAACTGTAAATATATAAATAAGAAATTTATAATCCTAAATAAAGGGTATCAAATGCACCCACACCCTGAAAAATGTACAAAATCAACTTAGGACCTACTAGTATTATTTTAGATAAAAACTACATTTGATGATACCTGTGATCCCTCTATCTTCCCTAATATAGACCTATTTGTTCTATCAATGCAAATCACTGGAATTTTGGTTGAAAATCAACTGAGCCTTCAAGATACTGGAAGTTCCTGGATCTGTAAGTTCTGTCTCTTACTGACTATGTGCTCCTTAGCAACTTGGCCTTTCTAAGACTGAAGTTCCCTAGTTGCATATTGAGAGGCACTGGCCTGTGGGATATATTCCCAAAAGTTTCAGGGGCAGCACAGATGGTTTAAATAACAGAGCTTGGGGGAAGAATAAATGACTAAGTCAAATCTGAAAATACTTGCCATGCCTAGAGATGTCAAAATTTGACTTTCAGTTTCTGTTATAAGACTACCTATCCTAGTTTTCTGAAGTTTGTGACTTCTGGATATGACATATAAAGTTCCCTACACTTAATGTTCTCTGATTATGGGACACATGCTTTGCTAGCACTGAGCAGTAACTGGAAGTGATACGTATAAAAGGCTATAAAAAACCACACTATTGTTATGCTTACATTTTTAAGCCTTCAAAAGATAAAAGTACATCTGTGCATGCTTTAACTATAATCTAATCATGAAGAACTGATGATACAAATCCAAACTGTTGGATTCTGCAAGAAAACTGTCTCCTTAAAAGTGCCAATGCCATAAGAGACAACAGGTAGATACATACAGATTAAAGGAGACTAGAGTCAGGACAGCCAAATGGGTGATCTTACACTAGATTCCAGAGGAAAAGGGGACAAATCTGATAATGGACTATATGTTAAATATCATATGGCATTAATGGTAAATTTCTTGTTTCTTCTGTGTGTGTGTGTGTGTGTGTGTGTAAGAGCTGGGGTGGGGAGAGGATTCACAGGAGACAGAGTGGGTAACAGAATAGGTGGGCTGACTGAAATACACTGCTGAGGTGAGCAGCGGGTGAGACAGGGGGAATCTGCTGCCCCATGTGAATCAGTTCCCTGGCTAGGGAATGAACTCAGGCCATAGAGTGGTAGTGTTGAAACTTAACCTCCAGGCCACCAGGGAGGCCCCTCTTGGTTGTTCGTGGTGAACTCTACTCATTGCCAAATGGGTTGGGAAAATTTTTGGTTAATTTTTATACATAAGCAAATGTCAAAAATGTTACTTGTTGAATTTAGATATGACTATTCATTTTACTATTTTAAAATTTTCAAAAAGAGCCAAAAACAATTATTACAAATGCAAACTACAAGTACCTAGATTATTTGCAAGCTCTATTAATAGCACTGTAGTTAAGTACTGTTAAGTAAGACATCTGCAAAACATAAAGCACTTCACAGAATTTAAAGAACAATTTAAGCATTAATAAATAAAAAATCAAAGCCTTTAGTGCAATACAACTTTTAAAAGTAGCAATTTTCACTACTGAAGGTGAATGGAAATGGTAGCAAGTATTTGGCTTCAGCTCATGACTATGATTCTCAAGCCCTTCCTTATCAGTTTTTCCAGCTGCTGGCCCCAGAAACCTTGCCACCATTCCTGACTCTTCTGTTCCTTCTGATTCTCTACTAGATCTGGACTGGATTACAAAGCAACTTTCCTCTTCTGCTTTATCACCCACAGAACAGTAGCTAGAGTGAACCACCAGCTTAAATATAAATGATATTGTTTTGCTTTACCATCTTCCCAGCTCCCATATCATTCTACTACCCACCCTTCTAACAAACTTTATGATTCACTTTTGTTTGTTGCCTATCTCACCTGGGAAGGGAATGTAATCACCAAGAAGAAAAATTTTATTTTTGTTTAATGACATCACAAATAGCCCTTCTCTCACTCCGCTGTAACAAGAGCACAATATACTGAGATAGAAGAAACTCTAGACTAATGTCTTTTATACAACAGAACTCAGACCGTAGAAAATAAATTTTTAAAAATCTGAAATAAGGGACCAATTTTCTTCAACAAAGAGACTGTATGGGGGGGGGGAGAAGAAAAGGAAGGATATGTTGCATATAGATTTAGAAATATTAACAAAAAGTAGTTATGTCGACTTCAGGCTTTGTCGAAACCAATCACAGAAATTGAAAACAGACTGGATGTTAGATGAAACTAATTTATTATACTTGTATTAATGATATTAAAGAGATTTTTTTTCTCTCAAAATATCTCTTATAGATACATAGTAATGTGTTTGTGAAATGAGGTGATGTCTGCAATGTTTAAAAATTTATAGCAAAACAAAAATAAAGAAGTGGCAGCAAAAATAAATTTAAGAAAGTAAAATGCCTACCTGCAGTTACTAATCTTTTGTTGTCTATACTTTATGGTGTTTTTACCAAAAATCATTGCCCAATCCAGTATTAGGAAGCTGTATTACCACTGCAGCAAAGTAACTGCTTCCAAATAGTGTTGAATATGACAACAAACAGTCTAATGCTCTGAAATCAGTTATTTTATCCACTGAGTATCATGCATATAAGATCCTCTAAGAACACTGTAAATAGCTCACAGTAGAAAGCACAGGAAGGCTACCCTACTTACCCTCTGCAGTTTCTGTGATTCTGTGCTCTTTCCTAAGTAATGAAGCTCTATTTATGGAGACCACTGGGGTAGAGATCCATGTGACTACAATGCTGACTAAATATGTAAACAGACACACACTTTAGTTTGTGGTCCATGTATCTGTGTGCTATTTTTAACATTCTGCCAAAAAAAAAAAAAAAACCGAAAAACAAAAAGACAACTCATCTTTTCACTCACACAATATGTTTAGATACATCAATTAGAAATTGTTTGAATTACCAAACATCTCTACATCTGACTCACTAGCTCTATATAAATTACTTTCATTGAGCTACCATTCATTCCTAGCCAAAAACAACAACAGCAGAGACAAATGAAGCACTGACAAGCAGGCCTTGCAACAGTGGGAGCTTTGTGTGGGCAACTGGAAATACAGTGATAAAAATAAATCAGCTCTTCCATTCTTCCTAAATTCTTGGTGGCTCATGAAAAATGTGTCATAGGTTTTGCCTTAAAATTCTCTGAGTTAGTGAAAGACTTCATCAAAATTTATCAAATTATTTCCAGTTAGGTTTATCCAGGACAGCCTCTTTGGATCAGCTCAATGTCTCCCCTCTCCATTTTGTCCTTAAATCAGTATAACATCTTGAGATGTCTAGAAGTAGAAGGTAAAAAGTGTTGGAAATGTCTTTACAAATTCATACTGCCATCTTTCCCATGGAGCACTGCAATGGTCTCTTCACTCTGCCTTGACTACTCTTCCCTGCACCCTTCAATTCTTTCTTGACTGGAGAGTGATCAATTTAAAACTACAAATCTTATCCATCACTCCTAAGGAAGAATGCAGAAAATGAACTACAAATTTCATTTATTCATGTTCACACAACCTTTTTGCAACATGATTCTGCTGTCAATATCAACAAAATGTTTCTCCACTTCCTGAATCTGGGCTGGCTTAACAATTTGCCCTGAACAACCCCTGTCTGTGGGAAGTGGCTACATTGGCAAGATTGTGCCAGGATGATGCCTCCAGACAAATCAGTTAGCAATCATCACCAAATGCCTCAGGTAGAAGCAAAGGCATCTTAGATCACTCCACACCTATCAAGCCTCCTGGTGCCTGAGAAGCATGACTGGGTCTAAATAAACCCACTGAACAACCTTAGCTGCCTCTGCCTCAAAACTACTAATCCAGAGCTTAGCAGAACTGTAATATATGGTGGTTGTTTAAAGTCACTAAATTTCTTTCTTTTTAAAAGATTTTATTTTATTTATGCATAGAAGAACTGGGGTAAAGGAAAGGGGTGAGAGGATTCATCAGAGAGTGGGGAGCAGAACAGGCAGACTGAAATACATTGGTGAGGGAGCAAGACAGGTGAGATCTGCTGTGCCATGTGGGTTAGCTCCCCCACCAGGGATCTAACTCATGCTGCAGCGCCTGCAGACATCTTCATAGTGCTGAGACTTAATCCCTTGTGCCACACCAGGGAGGCCCCAAGCCACCAAGTTTCTTATGTAGCAATTATTAACTCTCATTGTCCTCATGATTAAGTTTAAGCTTTTAAGACTTTTATATAAGGTCCCTTCTGTAGTTCTGTCTTTCAGTCCACACATTACTCAACATGTGATATTGAAAAATATTCATATAAATATCATCTTCAGAAAGGCTAAAATAATCATAAAAAGGAATAAATCTGCTTACTCCTAATACCTGATTTCAAATCATACTACAAAGTCAATCAAACCAATGTGGTTCTGGCATAAAGACAGACACACACACCACTAGAATATAATGCAGTCCAGAAACAAACAAACACATAATGGTCAAGTGACTTGTAACAAAGGTGCTAAGACCTTTCAATGGAGAAAGTACTATCTCTTCAACCAATCGATATTCCGAAAACTGGATATCCATAAGCAAAAGAATGAGACTGGACTTATTACACCATGTATAAAAATAACTCAAAATGGACCAAAGTCCTAACAGAACCACTAAAACTATAAAACTCTGAGAAGACAGCAGAGGGGAAAAGTTTCATGACACTGGATTTGGCAGTGGTTTCTGGCAAAGACACCTAAAAAAAAGAACAGACAATAAAAGAAAAAAAATTAATTGGACTTGCACAAAAGTTTTTCATTTTGCTCATCAAGAGTGAAAAGGCAACCTGTAGGTGGTAGAAATAACTGTAAATCACATATATGATAAAGGATTAATAGAATATAAAAAACTTCCTACAACTCAACAATTAAAAATGGGCAAAGGAAAAAGAAATGAAGATGTTTAACATCACTAACCATTAAACACATGCAAATTAAACCCATGATGAGATTACTTCATGCCTATTA